GCGTGAATTTACAGAGTATAGAGGAATAACATCTGAGTCCTCAGGAATGGCAACGCAAAGGGGGTATCATGGGCGAAACATTATACTCTGTTATGTCTATGGTACTGCTCATGTCTATAGGCGACGGCTACCACTTTCCATCAGGTGGACCGTCAGCTTGTTTGCCATTCTAAGTTCTATAAAAAATAATTGTGTAGGCATGGGTGATATCAGTACCATTCTGCTATCTATATATTTGATTTGTCTGAACAGTAATAGTAAATAAAACGTTATCACTTATTTCGATATCGCCCCAATACAGATATATATATATATATATATATATATATATATATATATATATATATATATATATATATATCTGTATTAATTTCGATCGGGTTCTGCATTTTGCTATTATATGTGGGATAATCGATATGTAATGTATCTGTTATTGGGCCAATATATATTGAAACCACAATATATAGATTTTGTTATACATTACCCACTCCATGGTGTTACGCAACTATTCCCTGTGATTTCATTGCTCGATTCCACTCTTTAAATCGAAACAAAGCCAAGCAAGAATCGCTGCTTTAGTCTACAGCAGAAGTACAAGTAGGGAGTGTACCTCTGTCAGAGAAACTGATATTTTTTACGTACCTACAATGTCTGTTTAGATAATGCATTGAAAACGATATCGTCCTTTTCAAATTCCAAATATTTTCTTTTACTGAAATTCTTAGTGAGATTATTAGAAATATAAAAAATAGCCAAATCGGCTTTATTCTTGTTTATATTCTCAAGTGATTTGCTTACAAACGAACACAACACAATTTCATTTTTATATATACCATACAGAATGAAGTCCAAATCATTAGCATATTTTTTGTGAGTGTTCTACTAAAAGTTTGTTTTCCCAATGAAACTTGTGTATAAAAATGATAAAAAATTTAGAGTTTCCATAATAACATAACATGTCTTGAGAATATAATTTTTTTTGTCATTTATCGACTCGTGCTGCTTATTTTATTTACTTCGATTTTTTCGATTCAATTTGTATATAAGACTAACTTTAACCGCAACATCGTCTGTATGATCTATATATGTTTACTTATCGATATAAAAAGTAGCCTATGAGCTTTTCCATACCATATATGTGTATACCAAATTTTGTAGTGATTGGTTAAGGCGTAAAGCGTAAAGAGGTAATAAACACACTTTTACGTCTGTAATATTAACACTTTGCTAACCGGTGATCAGTTAACTCGTCTTTTCATATTCAACCGTTGCTGATGGGTGACGAGTAAACTCGTCATTGTACTAATATGTAGGTATGTCCTCCTACCACGACGGGCAAGACCGTTTGGATTACAAAGCGTTCCGGACTAAATAATTACTTTTATTTGTATTTAGGTTTTTATCATAATTTTAACATAATTCTAAAGATTATCAACCATGACGAAATTTCCGGTCGGCAAAGTGTTTATAAAGATAAATTTATCTAGTTTTAACTGAACTTAGTATCAGTAGTAGATTTATGTTTTATATGTTGTTTGCATTGACGTCAGGCAGGTGGCCAGTCGTAAAACTAAAAACCAAATCTTTTTGTAATATGGATAAAATCATATTACGCCGACCCCAAATAATAATTGGGATAAGGGTAGGAAGATGATGATGTTGTTTGCATGGACTCTCGATTTGATTCATATTTCTCTCACCAATCTGTTCTATACTTGTCAACTATATTTTGGTTTAAAAATCGAAGACTCATACCGGGTCCGTACAATTGAATATCGACTCATATAATTTCAACGCGCGATTAAGCATTCCAGGAGCTAACAGATTGCTTGAACTGGGGAAATCTATAATTTTATATCAGTAAATATTTATATAAAATAAAATTACAATCTGTAATCTCGATACTAAATTGCGGTTTCTGATCTTGAACCTAAATTGTACAAGCATGATTGAATCGTAAAATCATTTATACTAAACATGTATGTTATGTTAATGTACGAAGTGACTGGTTCGCCGTATGATCCTGGCATAGAATAGGCCACCCTTTTTTTCCCGTAGGTGTCTTAACTATGTGGGTGGTGAAACTTAAACGGTCGGTTGGGGAACTTAAATGGTCGAGGCTGCAGCGTCCATCTCAAAACATTACCCAAGCCTAATTGCGGTTGCCAACCCACATGTCTAGCGTGGCAGGCTATTGGCGAAACCCCCCAATCTATGAAGGAGGCCTATGTTGAGCAGTGGATAGATAACGATTGATATAATAATGCTTATAGAGCCCGGTTTAACTCACGTGCATTTTAGTCGAGCTTTCAAGTCGCACCTTCCTTTCCCGTGGGTGTTGTAAGAGGCGACTAAGGGAGGGTGAGGGTACAGTAACGTCCCTCTTAAAACAACTCTCGCTCTTTTTAAAACTTTAAAGCCTAGCTGTGGTTGCCGATCCGCCTGCCGAGCGTGGCAACTACTGGCAAAACCCTTCAAGAAGGGGGGGGGGGGGGGGGGGTTATGTTCAGCAGTGGACAGTTAAAGGCTGATATGATGATAATGATGGTTGTATCTTAATAAAAGATAACGAGGTATTGTTGAAACTATTACAGTAACATTTCCTAAATGATTAACAAATTTAAACATTCAACTAATAAATCAATATTTGATTCGTGCTACTATTACTACCAGACCATCTAAAGATTTACACTTTCATTGATAATTATTGAAACAAAATTTACTACATGGGGTTAAGGACATAGGCGACGTTTTATCGTAGTCACGCGGACAAAGTCATGGGTAAAGACTAATGTTAAAAAATTGAAATGACGGTATCTATTCATCACGTTTGTGTACTGTTAACTGAATATAATGTAACAAGATAAGCAACAAGTGGAGATGAGATTCGTGTTCACGTTTTTGTTGAGGCTTAAAATTTCAGCTGTCGCGGACTTATCTTGAATTTTAATTAGTCGTTTGCCAAGATGGTTTCGTGGGGGCGTTACTTTTACAAATATCTTATTAATATACTAAAATTGTAGATAATGTCTGTACATCTGTAATAATATTATAAAGAGAAAAGATTTATTTGTTTGTCTGTTTATTTGTAATGGACAAACTTAAAATTTACTTATCCTATTTAAAAAAATCTCTCACCTAACATATTATATAGAAAGTTACATTACCAGAGAGTGACATAGGCTATATAGGTATATCATTTTAAAAAAATATACATACCTGTGCAAAGCTGGGCCGGATTACTCGTAGAACATATGTAGGAAAAAATAGTATTCCCGATAATAACAATAGAAGCCTAAACATTATTTTTTAGAATTTTTGTTTGCCTCTTTGTCTGTGTGTTTATATATGGCATTACGTAAACATTACTGCAGTGAATAGAATATAGTTTTCATAGTTGTATTCCCGGTGCTCTAACCTAATATATGTATATATTTTATTATTTATGTAATATTTTATTATATATATTAAAATTTTATTTAACTGCATATTTGCTTATGTATTAACAGTTGTATCACTTCAGCTGCCCGCTAACGAAATGCTTTCTCACTGTATTGGGTTGCCTGGAAGAGATTTCTGTCAGAAATAAGTCCACCCTTGATCACAACATTTATAAATACATTATTTTATATGTACTTCCAAAATCCATGCATTTGAAGTTATGGATAAAACCTAGTATTGGATAATTTTATCAACGTTGTACAAATTTAATCTTAAATTTTGTAATTACAGATTATATTTAATTGTAAGAATAGATTAATTTACATATATTTTAGTCGAGAATATTCGACTATCTTTAGAATAATTCGAGACTTAGTAATGAGTGGCCACGAAACATTAGGCTCGTATCCGCATATCATCGCCGCTCATGACTAAGAGTCCCGGACGGTTCCGAAGCCAGTTGTTCATTTAACGAATGTACGCTATTTCTATCTCAGTGTATTTCTTTTAGTTAATCTGCAATGTATAAATCTACACCAATATCTTCATTCATTGGTGCTTTAGACATAGACGCTTCAATATATCTGCCAATTGTTTCAAAAATTTCAGAAGCGTATAAGATGTCTTCGAGACGAGTCGTAAAATAACGTTACACACGTATAATGAAGGATAAAGCGACGTCTGTCGGTTTATGACGACGTTTTATTGGCGCGTGTTTTTACTATCTTTTGAATATAAATCTATGGTTATGACTTTATGACCTTCAACACTTCTTGGGCTCTAAAGGAGAATATTATTAGATTTACGACTGCCACTTAAGATAAAGCGGTTGTTTTTTCTATTACTGAAAAATTAAGCAATGATAAAGAACCTCAAATTTGTGGTGTACGGTGGCGTTTCTAATAATTTTATTTAAACTGATGTAAATTTATTACACTCATAATTGTGAATGTTAAAGTTTGTGTAAAGATGTTCAATTGTTTGTTACTCAGTCACAATAATACTTGTGTAAACGGATTTAAAATAAACTAGGAACACACATAGAACATATACGAATAAACAGATATATAGGTATACCTATATTTATAGGTACAACTTCTCCAATCCAAATTCTACACGTACAATGAACAATGTTTGTCTCTGACAATCTTTGTATGTTTGTTTCAGTATCTCGCAAGAACTACAGAATCAAATTCAATGCGGTTTCCAGAGTTGTTTTTCCGAAGATCTAACTTAAAATCTGGTATATGTTTCATCTTGATACACCGTCCAGAAGTAGTATATATAATTTGTTTTTCTTATTGTAAAATCTACGTGCACGAAGTAACGGGCTAAAGTTAGAAAATAGAAACAATTACATGATCTGTGAAGTACAAATTAGAAATGTACTTATGCGATTAAGGTATTCCTTCTATTCATTTCTAAGGTAGCCATTTATAAAAAATGAATGTTGCAAATTTTAATGAAAATAGGAACGTATAAAATCATTAAACATGACATGATTTGAATTTTATTATATTTATGTTAAGGTAAAAATTAAAACACTTCTTAAGTGTTGCTATCTTTATTTGTCAAATTTTACCTTAAATTTATAATTGTAATTACATGATCTGTTTATAAACGTGTCCAACTACCCACAAAGTAAAATAAAATATCTCATAAATAACTTATTTAATTCACTTTTATAAACTCTATTACAAATTCATTTGTAAAACTAAAGAAGTAACGTCATTTATTGTGTCATATTGAATCATAGAAATTACATTTCAAATTATTTACAATACAATAATGCTATTTACAATTTTACATTAATTTATACTTTATAAACAATAAATATTTCTATTTATAAAATTTCACTAATTTTAATCTATAAAATAATACCTTGTTATTTATATCAGTAACGGTAATAAAATAATATTGTATATTTATATATAAAAAAACCCTAAGATATTGTTACAATATTGCCAACGTAAAATATTTTATTTTGTTTTCAGAATTAAAATGATTTTTACTTTCATTCGTATATTTATAACCAAAATAATCTTACTTTTATTGAAGAATCGTGCAATTACTCGAAAAGGGATTCAAATTGCTTTAGTAATCTTTTAAATTCAAATTAAATTCTGTAAAAGCTTTCGTAAATAGAATGAAAGAAAGTGACATTAGGCTTTCAAGTCAAAAGAGGTGAGCGGTGTGCATTTATTTATTTTAAAAAGTTTTATTTGACTCTAGTATCCATAATGAGACCATTAAGTGTTACCTTTACCTTTAATAATCTCAAATTAAACCGTTACCTTTAATAATCTCAAAATTATAATAAACAAGACCAAAACTCAGATAAAGATCCAAAAAATTATAATAACTTTAATTATAGGCAGATCAAAGTGTAATAAACTTTATAGGTAACATATTTTTAGTTAAATCGATGGCGCTACTTATTGCTTATATTTTTTTTTTATTTATAAAAAAACAAATCTCAATGAAATTAACTTTAAAGTCAAGTAATGATAGTGAAACAAATATCAATTCTTACGTATCTGTAATAGTTTAAATACTCTTGTGTGAAACTAAATTTATTTAAAGTATAGTTTGGTCTCATTGAGATTTAAGGTGAATTTACAATTTGTTCTACCGATGTCTATCTCGTAGTTAGGTGATTTAATAAAAAGTGGTACATCAACAGTAATTTTGACTATTTTCTGAATCCTATAACCATACCATAATCCATCGACATGATATAAGCATAGAATTAATATTAAAATTCTATATCACTCACTCGTATAAATAATGTATAATTTAATACATTTTTTTTTAAACAAATCAATGGTTTCGTAATAATAAAATTGATATGGACTAATTGAATCCATATGAAAGTCAATATTTTCGAAGACGTCGTATAATTTATATATAAAACATTTAATTAAATTAATAACATCTTTCGTTTTGTTTTTTAAGAAAATATTATTATTATTAATCTTTACATTTTCTCTATGATATTATGTAGTTATTTTTAATCATATACCATAAACAAATTGATATTGTTTATGGTATATGTTTGTTAATTTATTATTTTGATATAAATCAGATTATAAGATAAAGAAACCATCTATGTATACAGCTGTCTCTGTTTAATTCATTTATTGACCTCCAAGAAGTTATATTTGTATGGCTATATTTTAGTTTAAAGAATAGGATGTCTATAGATGTCATTTACCTATTTTTATCATATGGGCCATTAGTTTCGTTACCATTTACGCCACGTATAAAAAAATAGTCAATCCATATAAATTAATAGACTTCGTTACCTTAAATTATATAGATAGAACATCGAGCCTCAAAAACGGGTCAACTTTTTGTCAGCTAATTGTCAAATTAGCTGACTCGTTATTTTTATCAGTGTTCTGGATACTTATAAAATGTATTTTGATATATAATTTAATAAATAAAATAAGTGTTTACGCATTAAAAAGATGCAGAAATTGAAACAAACAAAAAGGACAAAGTAAATATAGAAGTTATAAAGGAATCAGTCATATCTATTTATCATGCGAAATTGTATGAAAGAGTTGACCAGTTTTTCTCGAAGCATTTCTATGGACACTATCTATATAATTTAAGTTTGTTACCTACAGTTTAACATAATACGCTCTCCGCTAGTCGCACCGCTACCGCCTGTCACTCATTTTAATATCTATCTAAATTTTTTATTTAAGTTATTTACATTTCGTTTCGCCGAAACAAGAAGGCCATTTTATATAGGTACAGTTTCTATGCCTTTATTTTGTATTTACAAAGACCATTAACTTGTACATAAATGTTGGAAATTGTCATTAAGTTGAATTTCTGTATACATTTTTTTTAACTCAGATTCTTTCTCTTGTATTCTTTTTTTGCATAAACTTCAAGTAAATATGTTTCATTGCAATTTATTATTTTTACTCTCAGCATTTTCTGAAATTTTACGAAAATACAACACGACGCCTCCATTTTCTCTTATGCGTTGTGCACATTTTCTCTACAGCCGCATCATTTCAACACAAATCTTACACTATACAAAAGTAAGAAAAAACTACTATGAATTTACAATTTGATGAAACGTTTGTTTAAAGCTGTGTTTTGTAATTTTCATCTAAAACCGTCGACTGTACTGGTGTATAGAGTCGCGAGTGTGCAGTACAGTGAGATCAGGAGGTTGACCGACAGTGCACAGGGTGATGCTGTGTTAGCGTTGCCATGCTGCATTGCAGCAGGATGCTCTCCTGTTAACAATAAAATTAAATTAATTTAAAAATCACTTTTATAATAACAGAATAAACAACTATTTCTTAATCGATATAAGTATATAATGCTATACAAAGAAACAAGCAACCTTTAGCTTTAGATATAACGCTAAGAACAGTAGTTTTAAACATCACAATATAAAAATGGAACAAATTCGGGCATAAATTTTATCGATTGTGCAAAGAATGTTAAAAATCGGTTCAGAATTGTCAACATAATGGTATAAATGATAAAAAAAAATTATTTAGCAAATCATTTAAAAATAAAAAAAATAAGTATTAATCAGAACGTCATCAGAGATTGAATAGACATTCTTATTCATAGTAAGAATACAATGTGTCATCTTTTCGTCTCCGGGTTAAAACAGGAAGTAAATAATATATACTTTAAAATAAACTATACTTTAGTTGCCAAAATACAATACGTCGACCCATGAGATAGTAAACTCGAAGTAAACCCCTATAGGCCCATAAGTAGCTCAGTTTTGCACTCATAAAAAGAAGACCTACTTAGAGAGATTTTCCCTTAGTTATTGATGAATTAAATAAATCAACTGAGACATTATATACATAAACAAATACAAACATATACAAAGCTGATAAGTTAAAATAGAAAACGTTTTAATGGATGTAGGTATCTAACGTCTTATCAGGATTGTATGGGGTCAAGATGCCTGATTACAAGTATCAAACTTTTTTAGAGGATAGTAATATTAAACTAATATGTTTTATATTTGTACTAATTTTATAAGGGGGAAAGATTTTATTTTCTTTTTATATATTTTTTTGTTTGTAATAGATAAACTCAAAAATCAGTCAAGTAATTTTAAAAGTTCTGTCACCTATAAAAAGCTATATTATCAGGAAGTAACATAAGTTATATTATATATATTATTTTCAAAAAATTAGACGACTACGAAAATTACAATAATATAACACAAGGTATCAAAAATTTATTTATTTATAATTTTACACACATTTAAATATGTTTAAAAGGCGGACTTAATACCTGATAGCATTCTCTATAAGTCAACAGAGAGGTGTATTTATTTAAAAAAAAATATATATTGTTATATTATTAACATATACATAGAATAATATACTAACAAAAAATATATATACATAAATAGCATATAATACAATATACATTTATAAATAACTATACAAAGTTCATATTAATTTAATAAATACATAAGTCATAACTAATTATATAATATTACAGATTGAAGCTTATCATTGTTGTAATATTGTTAGTGAAATATAATAATAATAGATATGAAATATCTCACAGTACCTAGTATTTGGACAATGATAGATTGTTGTACTAAGAGAACTTTTGAAAGCTTGTATCAAACTATTTGGCCATCATGAGAATAGCGTGCTAATTATATCTTTTACTTAGAGAGCGACCTGTAATTAGTACTCGTGGTAGCATAGCGCAAAGCGCTGTATACAGCGGTAATAATATTTTAATAGTAGCAAATTGCAAATTAAGATGGTTTATACTATAATAATGCCCTTAACGTCTGGATTAGATGCTTCTTAATGATTTTAAACAACTAGCAATCCGCTTTTTTGAAAACACAATGTCTAGTATTTTAAATGTCAGTTAATAAGGACTTTTTTATTTTATCTATTACAAACAAAATATTACATCTTTCATCTTTGTAATATTATTTTAGAAAAAGTGTCTCCTTTGTTTTACTAAAAGGAAAATATTAAAAAAAAATTGACGAAAAGATTACCTATTTCTAATCAATTTTATATATATATATATATATATATATATATATATATATATATATATATATATATATATATATATATATATATATATATATATATATAGTTGTAAATATATATATATTTACAACTTAGAATTGCAAACAAGCTGACGGTCCACCTGATGGAAAGGGATAACCGTCGCCTATAGACATGAGCAGTACCATGGACATAACAGAGTATACTGTTTCGCCCATGATACCCCCCATGCGTTGCCATTTCTGAGGACTCAGGTGTTGTTCCTCTGTACCCAGTAAATTCACGCCATATCCCACCCTTCAAAACGAAACACAGCTGCTTCACGGTTGAAACACGAATGGGACAGAGGACAATAAATTCATAATCAGAATATATTTCTAATTCAGTTCATTTAGAAATATGTATTTTTAAAGTCATTTAGAAAAAAATTTATTCCATTCTCAAGAATCGTATAAAATAATGAAATTTTATATCGAAATAATAATGGCAAATCGTTTTCTAACGATGTCCTTCACTTTAATATTTTTAGTAAAGAATGTTGCTCTTGTACTTAATTATTTTTAGATGATACAGACCATTACTAAACGTATAATAACGAACATAGCGTTGAAAATATAATAACATGAGTAATTATAAAAGACAACATTTTCAGCTAGAACTTTTATATTATATACTTGAATTTGGACTACTTTTTATATAATCCTTACTGATAAGTCAGTGAAATTGAAAAATTCATAAGTTCTATGTACCTATATTATTAGTATTACCTATATTCTTGTTAGTAATAACTGCAAGTGTCAATAAGTTAAGATAAGGATCAATTAAAAAGGTTAAGTAAGATTAGACGTTGATGAGTGACTGTTTGTTTTTGGGGCAAGCTATTCTTTTACTTTCAGTTATTGTCATATAATGATTGTTAAATCATATTTAATTTAACAATATGTATATTAAATATATGAGAACTTTTAATTTATTAATGAACAATGAATTTTTGGTAATAAATTTGTCGATTATTTTATGTTGTTTTATTTTTGTTTGTTATTTAAGTTATTGTGCATCAAATTTTTCGTTTCGACTTTACGTTGTGTTTTACTATATCTATTTTTTACGTTAAGTCACACCTTTATTTTTCTTTAAGCATTGTTACAATATAAACGAGTATTTCTAAACGAGCTCCCTAGTTTTCAAGTAGTAAAGAAATTTTAATTTTAAAATAACTTGTTACTTTTGGTATACTTTATGTCACACCTTTATTTCTTTTAAGCTGTCTTCAGGTACAAAATGGGCAATTCCATTCTAGTATTAAAAAGTAAACAAATAAGATGTGAAATAATATTAGATTACCGTCAATTTATTTAAATTTTAATCGTAGCCTAACTTCCCAGATTTTTTCTGTATAACCTATATTTCTTGTAATTTTTGTACCTGTTGGGTATTCCTCTAATATTTCAAAGGTACCAATATTGTATATCTATCTATTTTTTAATGATATTAATAATTTAAAACACTAACCATTGATTACATGAACGTTTACCGAAGCTGCTTCGGCCATTGTCGGCACACAACTGTAGTTCCCACTGTCCCCTGGTAGTAACTTCTCGATAGTCAGCCGTGACGTCAGCTGTTCAGTCCATTCTGTTCTCAGTCGAATTCTCGGCTCCTCCGCTATCTCGTTCTCTTCTAATTCCTTATACTCTATTAGTTTTGATCCTGAAAAAAAAATACAATTACAAAAGGATAATTCATAAGTATCTAATTCTAATATTGTATCTATATATTTTAATTAATTATATTATAGCAAAACTAAATGAAAATTACAAATGCCTTATTGGCGAAATATACATAATTTGTAATTCTATTATTATATGACATAATAGTGAATCTAATAGGCGACGTGCTGAAGAATGGCCAAATTAAAAGTACCCGTAATCGGCGAGCATGTATGAAAAGATTGATGAATATGGAAGAAGCAAAAGAGGTTTGTTTGAATCGAAGCATTTGGCGTTCCATTGTTTCTGCCTACCCTAATGGGAGACAGGCGTGACAGATATGTATGTATGTATGTATAGTGAATGTATTTTTTCTTCATCATTAATAAATAACAAGAAAATACATTAGGTAATTATACCTAATGTATTTTCTTACATTCATTAGGTTTCATTGGTGGGACAAAATATAAAGGCTTTCAAGAAAGTGTTTTATGAGGAGTACCATAGATTAATTTCTATAGACACCATTGCCTAATAATAACTATTTATTACAGTTTGTTTGCCTTTCCATGCTGCATAAAAAAATAAGAGATAAATTCTTTAAACTGTAATTAAAGTCAGTTTTTTTTTGTCACTTTCCTTTCACTTTTTAAACAAAAAGTATTAAAATTTAGCTCCGTGAACATTGTAATTTATAATGATTACATTACTTTATACTGTTTTATAGATATGCATATTTAGTACATAAGAAAATACAGTTTTAGAATTCTTTTAAGAATGTAAAAAATCATTTGAGAACGTTTTACATAAAAAAGATAAAAGCATTATAATCAAACAATAAATCGGAGGAAGAATTGTGAATAAAGAATTCGATAAATTCCTTAAAGACAATGGCATAATAGAACGATTGTCCACACCGTACACAACAAAATGATGTAAACGAAAGGAGAATCTGGTCTTTCATTGATAAAGTCCGATGTATGATTAATAGCATTAGAAGTTACTGATTTATTATGGGCAGAAACTATTTTAATTGCGAATAATGTTGTAGATATTCATCTATATATACGATATAAGACAAGAATTATTGCTTATAAAGCGGAGTTCCGAGAACCACTTATAACTTTTTGATTCTAAATCTTTTCGAATAATAATAAACAAGAATATTTTTAACATAAAAGTAGCTACTTTAAAATACATCGAAATAATAAGATATTTTGTAAATATTGTATATTAGATTGATCTTAATTTAGAATGCGGAATAATGTATTCACAATTTTTTACTTAAAATTAGTTGACGGAGTTTTTTTTTATATTATTTATCACATTATATGTTACTGATATAATTACGAGTTATTTTAATTGGTTATAGCTAGAACCCATTCCTACTTCGATTTTTAAATAAAAAGAAATCTCCTTGATTACTCTTCTCCATCCAAAGATTGCCGCCTGGAAGAAATCGCTCTTACCGATCAGGCCACCCATTGTATTGTGTTGTATTTATAATAAGTTTACTATTGTAATCTTATGCACAAAATAGTAAAGGAAATCTATCTATCCCTGAAATAAATTTAATTTTTGTATGTAAAATTAAAGAACCAAGCAGAAGAAGTAACTTTAATGAAGTTCTTTTGTATTTTTGTACCAATATAAAAAAAAAACTACACCAAAGTAATTTAAGAACATTAGTCGACATCAGTAAAGCTAGAATTACCAATACAATTCCAAGAATGAAAATGAGGTAACTGACATACAATGTAGGATACAATTATAAGCCCATATTCCGGGAATAGCACAAATCAATGCATCACGCGAACCGGCGTTTAACATTTGCTTTCATAAAGCAAACAATGTAATTTTTCTAGTAACTTTTTATTGGGTAAAGCCAAGTTGTTTGTAAAAGGTCACTTGCCTTTTGGTTCTAAATTAATACCTGTCATATAAATAACTATTATCATAGCATTTCATATGTATTTCACATCCGCAAAAACCAAAGTGACCGGCATAGCCAGAAAGATAAATAAGCTGAAGTAGCAATGGGCTAATCACATAACTCGAAGAACTGACAACTAGTGGGGAAGATAGTTTCTTGAGTGGCGACTCCGTACAAGCAAATGTAGTGTAGAATTTATTAATAAAATTTAATAGAATATTGTAAATATATTATTTTATATATTCTAACTTGAGAGATAGAGTAATTTTTAGCTCAATAAGAAAAAAATGGATTCAGCGTATATGTTATTTTCTGTACATTTTTACATTGAGCTGTAATTCTTTGAAAGTATTCTAGAACAAATATATAAATATTATAATAAAAAGTAATTCACATTATATCATCTTCTGCATTTCTTATGGTCTATATCACGCAAGCCTTGAAATACATTTCTACGCGTGTTCCACTACATTCTCTTTCACTGAAGAGTGAATGATAAATGTCTCAGTATGTTCCGGGAAAACTTAGATATAGTAACATATTTGAGTACCTTATTTGGGCCAACTTACTCATAATAACATACGCATTCATATTCCCAAGGTAACTAACGGCTTTGTATGAGTAAAGCACTTTCGGTTTTCCCGGCAATAAGTCAAAACACCTGATATCTGTATTGTTGAAGAATATTCTTAAAAATTATTTTAGTATTTCACACAGTTTTTAAATATAATATTTTAAATATAAACGATTAGATATAGCAAAGTAAAATCGGAACTCTATACAATATTTTTTTGGTTGTCGTCATATAGCCTAAAGTACCACAATTATTCTACAATTAGTCAAAAACGTTGATAAACCGTTTATAGAATAGACTCTATAAATAAAAATTAATCAATAAATGTATTAGCGTGTAGAAAGTTCGAGAACGAATGGACTAATTCGCCTAATTTTCTTTTAAATACCCATTGGTTGTTAACTGATAGGACATCATAACCTTCAAGAAAAGAGCATATTCCTTTTTAAAAACTAGTAGCACACCTGCAAAGCAGTTGATGTTGTGGGTGATCATGGGCGTCAGTAATTATTTACCGTCAAGTGTTATAAAAAAAAAAACCAAGGAAAATCTTCATGAAGATAAAAATTGCCTAGAGAATCTTAATTTTGTTTCGCTAGCTTTTGACAGAATGAAGTCCTTTGGAATAACTAAAAGAACATATTTTTGATCGTTCAAAAGAAAAAGAAACTATATAAAATAGAAAGATCCCTGTCTCAGCATTTTGTTAGCCACAGCAGGTACGTACCTAATGTTAGTAGATTTAGTATTCTAGCATATCCCTTGGCGTTGCTACGGGTACGGTAACTTAATAGTGGCATTTATTTAGCTATATCATTGCATATTGCCAATGGTAGAGCATCGAACATAAATAAAGGCACAAATACGTGAAAAGAAAAACAAATTTAACATAATTTAAAATTGCATTTAAAAAAAAAAAAACTGAATTCAATTGTAGCAAAACCGCTTCTTTTATCTATAAATTTAATTATTTAATCCATAGAATTCATATAGAGTCAATCCTAAAGTATATCTTTCAGATAAAAAAAGAAATTTCCAAATCGATTTTGAGATAACAAATATTAAAAAATATGTAACCGAATTAAGGACCTTTTTTTTTGAAATCAGTTGAATAAGAAAAATTAATTCATAATAAGATATAATAAGACATAATAAAACAATTACATTATTATTTTTGAATATGTAGTCTATTTTTAGGGTCCGTTATTTTAAAAAAAAATTGGACTATCTTATATATAGTTGAAAATCAAAGAAAATCTACCATATTTTTCTATTAGCAATTGGCAAAATATTTAAAGTATTTATTTTTTTATACTTTGCACACATTAAAATACTCATATGACTACAGGGCGAACTTAATGCCTGATGGCATCCTCTACCAGTATATCGTCATAATCGTAGAATAGTGACGGATCTGACAAGGATTACATATAAAGATCCGTCAGTATTCTACGACTATGACGATATGTTTATATGTATATTTTTATTAATTATGTATGTCTATATTCATCATAGGTTTTTTAAGTACCCTTTATATAACAAATATTGTTATTTTACTATCATTATAATAAAAATTTAATTATGAAAGTTTTAAGGGTTCATTGATTAATTATTACTAATCAACTGTAATATAAATATTGGTCCTGGCATAGTAAGGGCCCATTCCTTTCCAGTGAGTATTGCAAACCACAAAATTTCTTTAGTTACTTGAACTAAAGAAATTTAGTGGTCGAGAGATAGGCAGCAATGTCCCTTTTAAATCATCACCAACCCTAACTGCGGTAACTAGATATTGACAAAATACCTTAATAGAGAGAGCCTATGTTCAACTGTGGACGGTTAACGGCTGGAATAATAACCTAATAAATCAATTGTAAATGTTGGCCGTGTAGTCCCCGCATAGAATAGGGTACCGCTTCCTTTTCCGTCGCTATCGTACAAGACGACTAGGGGAGCTTAATGCTCAAGGAAAGGGCAGCGGTGTCGCTCTTAAAAAAATATCAAAGCCTAACTGCGGTTGCCAATCCGCTTGCCAAGCTTGGCAACTAGTAACAAAACCTCTCAATGGGGGGAGGCTTATGTTCATCAGGGGACATTTAACGGCTGATATAATAATGATGATGAAATAACTGTAATCGTTGATCAGTTTAAGTCTTTGTATATCGATAAGGACATGTATTTCATTTTAATTAAATGGATGCCCATTGCGTACGCAAACAATATAAAACCACAACTGCCATTGTACAATTAGGGTTACCAAAACGAATGTACATTAATTTGTTAGAGGAAATGAGAAACTCAATTGAAAAATATCGACGACGTAATTACGTAATTATCGTCGTCCGCTAAGCTAGAGTAACAGTGGGATAGACGCTGTACATTTGATAATTCGTATGTATTTTTTTAATTCTAATAGTCTGAAAATAAGACTAAGAATTTATTTAAAAATATTTTTTAATTAGCATGCCAATCTCATTGTACAATGATTCACAAAAAAAAAGTATGTGTTGTGACTACGCATAAGAAATACCCTCTAAAAAGCTAGTACAATAACAAAATAAAAAATACATAAAACATACATATATATGTGTAATATAGTCATTTAATATTTACATAATGCAGGTATTTGAAATGACAGCATATTACGTTCAATTAATTTGGCGGCCATTTTCTCTTGTATTTAAATAATTGTGATAATAATAACACGCAAAATCTCACCAATAATAGAATATTTACTTATTTTAAAATTTAAGATATGTTTTGTCATTTCTAACTACTAACAACTAAGGCGACAATCCTCCTTGGACATTTAACTACATTTCACCCTATGAGTATATAGGACAGGAAGGCAGCTCGATTAGTTTAATCGCTTAAAGGTGAAGTTAGATAAATAGTTCTCGGATTACATCCAATGACAAGTCCCGATGAAAGAATAATGAACAAGAAAACTGAACGAGAAGCCAGGACCAATTTATAAAGGTGAGATTAAATACTTTTTGGGAGGGTTAGAAAATCTATCTGGATTGAGGAACTTACAGGACTTTCTACGCAATAGCTATAAAATATTACCGTTGGTAATTTCCAATGATTTTTGTTTTGTTTGTACCAACAAACTTTTGGTAGGTCGAGATTTTTCCATGTCAATTTATAAAAGCATTTCCCTTATTTAATGATATTATAAAAATAAATTTATCTATATTTATTTTTAGAGAAAATATCTAACATCCAAGAGAACAGTTGGTAGACTACCAACCCGCTGTTCAAATGATATGGTGTGAATAACAGGGAAGCGGTGAATGAGGTTAGCACAGGACCGTTACAAGTGGTGCGATAAAAAATAATCCTATGCCCAGCAGTGGGTTAATATATTCGTAGTAGGCTAAACGGATAGTTAGATATATTACAGATAATATTTTTTAATACTATTTTTTAACGTTAATTAAGTTTAAATGATTCTAATTTAGGTACTAATTAATGTTTTTTTAATTTAATAAATTTGACAATGTTTTGGTATAGTGCACAAAATTTATTGTAAGTAATATTATTACCTACTCAAATAAAGTGGGTACAAATAAATATAGTAGCGCACTATTAACAAAAAACTTTATTTACAAGTATCTCTGAAACTCTGATGAAACATTGAATAAAAATGTAATTCTTTTTCACGTTAAACTTTTTCCTTACTTATAACTTTGTATTCTATGTCTATTATAAGCAAAGAACCACTTACTTACCAATCACGAATTCTCAACAACCAAAACGTCTACAAACATGGAAAATTTTGCACAAAAGATCCACGGGGAAAGGATTTTTAGCTTCTCAAGGGGAAGGGAGAAAATATTTTCCGAGCAGGAAAATCTTCGTATTTTTCCTTTTGATTTTTAACATTACGTTATTGAAAAATTTTATGTGGGTAATCGGAGATTCAATATGTAATGCTATTTGTGTAATTGTCACTAAGTTTAGCATATTAGGAGTGATCTTTAAAAACGATTGTAAAAATAGTAATAAAAATTGAGAATTCCGTGTTTATTAAATTATTATCTTTCTACTATTTGGGCTAGTTAATGTTGATAATCCGATACCGGTTGTACGGCTTGAAGGTCATTTTACCACGCGAGAGAGTACTGTCGCATCGCACCTGAGCTGCTCAGGCTGAGCGCAACTATGTTCGGATAGAAGAAAAAAAAGGAATATGGCATTGACGCGAAAAGTGATCATGGGATGTTAACAGCGTACGCTTTGTTTCGTGTATTTTTTTATAACAAACAACATCTAAATAAAATTCATAGTTTACTACGACGTGGTTTTGTGTGCAACTTGCTAAATGTCATAATAAGACTAAGTTTCTATTAATGGAAAAACTGTTACGTGTCATGGACATGTGAAGTACCCTACATCACGGCATCCTATTTCAATACAAGTTTTTGTGCGTGCTCCAGAGCCCGTGAGGATCCTTAACTGAGCCGTGGAGAAAGACAGCAGCCCAAGGAGGCAGGTGAACTGCAGTATTTCATCAAAGAGGTACGACTAATTTAAGTTGTTGCGAATGGTACTCGTATACCGGTCTAGGAAAGTCATCGTTAACCGCCCTCTCTGCTGACCCCTGGACTTTTAGTTTTTCGCTCATACACCTATCTTTATCCCAATTATATAAATTTCGAGGTTAAGTATATTTTTATACAAATTACCTAATGTTTTGATTTTTTAATATTCCACTAACTTGTATCCAATACAGAAGTAATTGCTTCATAACACGAGCTTTCACTATTTTCAGTCATCTATGTAGTAGAAATAATAAAATGGATATATTTAACATTAGAAGCAGTTATATAAGAAAAATCGTCGTAAATTATTCATTCTGTGATTTTAACAACGTTTAGCCTATGTTTGCACACTTATTAATTATCTAGACTGTAAGCAATTTCAAGTTTCGTTAACTATATGTAGTAGCTTTTAATTAAATTATCGTTTGTCATAATGTTATTATTAATTATTAAGTTATTATAGCTATAAAGTCCTCCCAAAAATAATAAATAAATAATAAGTAAATTTAATTTTACGACCAGCAACCTGCCTGACATGAACCCTCTTTGTGAATGCCTTTGTTGGTAGTACCTGCCACCTACGTTATAGAAAAAAGTATTGAGGAAAAAGGAAAGAGACTTTCAGAACGAGTAAACAAAGTTGACAGAATAGGAATGGAGAATTTATGGGGAAAAGGGAAGAATATAGTTGTGGATGGAATACTGGTCAGAAGTTGTAGTGGTTTAGTAGACCAGAGTCACTGTATGGCCTTACTTTAAAACGGGACAAATTACTAAAAGACCCTAATGTTTAACACATATTGGAAATATTGTTATAAATCTGCCCACTCTAATGGGAAACGGGCGTGGCAGATATGTATGTATGTTTGTATGAAAATTTTAAACAAATACTAGTCATTTCACGCAGATACAGTGGACCTATTCACTCCTACTTTAGTTAGAATATTTTCATGAGAGTAACAAATTTATAAAGAATTCAAGATAGGAATCGACTTGATATAATGCTAGTAATGGGGACTAATGCCCCCATTTACTAGTGCAATATACAATCTACATTTACTATAAAATTCGATGGAAGCACCGAATATTATAGTATAGATTTAGAATTACTATTGCATACTGACCCTTATACCAAAATATGGTGCCCAAATCGTGTGGACCTTGACTCAGGATACACGTAAGTGACAGCGTACTTCCAGTCTTCACGTATAGGTCTACGGGACCCAGGATGTGAGCTTTAGCCTCTGTTGACAAAAAAAAACAGATTATTTCATTAATATAAACTACCATTTTGCATAACTAAACTAAAGTAGTATTTTTTACCGTGTGGTGCCGAGTTCGAATGAGCTGTCCCTTCTTATACCGTGGGTGTTCTAAGAGGCGACTTAGGGAGCTTATGGTGGACGGACAGGCAGCAGGGACGCTGCTATTTATGTATAAGAAATGTAAGTATTTTTTATGGTGTTCTATGTGGGAGGCCTATGTTCAGCAGTGGACAAATAATGGCTAAAATTATGATGATGATAATATTTTTTTTTTTCCAAATTTATACGCTTTGCTTTATTTTTTAACCCTATTTCCGTTTTATTTAATCATGCAACATAAAACAAAAAAAAAAAACTCTTTTTACCTTACCCTCTCCTTAATTTATCCCATTTTCACTTTTGCTACCTTCATTGATTGAATATTTTATTGTATTGACATACCTATATCCACTTTACAAATACCATAACAACAACAAGTCCAAAAAAATTACCCAAATATCTCCAAAATTTCGTGAATTTTTTACCCAAGATTGCGTAATAAATACCTAATCTGCCAACGCTGTATTTCGTAGATATTTTTGAAAATATTTGAAATTTGAATACGAAATTGTGTCTACAAGTAGATTAAGTTTTACAACAAGCAGTTGATTGGTTTTACTAAGAGAAATATCATCTTAACATTAAGATTCACAACAAGAGTTGTGAATCGATAGAGTTTAATGTTATTGCGTAACGTAATCGTAAAAAAAGGTCAAATTATCACCTCCATCATTTTGACTTTCATTACTTAAAAAAATTGTAATATCTTAAATAAGAGATTTTGATCGGTATCATCAAAGACCCTTAAGGGCAGACACCACTTCAAAGTCCTTCATTTACCTAAAAACCTCACATTTTCAGCAATGTAATTTTGTAGATTGTGCTTGTTAAGATATTAGGGACAAAGTAGCTATTGAATAGCGACTAGCTCTGATATAGCACGTTTCAGCACCAAATGACCGGGAGACGACCGTAAAAAATGCTCGTGGAAAAAATTAGAATCGAGATTAAATCTGGGCGCCTTTCTCGTCGTCTTCCGTTTCGAATCGGTATAAAGAATTTCTACGTCTTAGAATTTTTTAGAAAATAGATTTTTTAAAGAATTAATAAAGAAAAGAACTGAGTTTTTATATTCTGAGTAGCATAGTTTATAGATTAACCATTTTTTAAATAATATAATACCTACAAATGCATTATGTTACTAAAAACCAATATACGTATCTCTGTGTAATACCACTGTATAGTTAGTATTTGCTATCTTTGGCGATTCCTAAAAAGAGGTTTTCGTTTTGTCAGAAATTTTTGTTATGCTCTATTTTGCACCAATTTTCAACTAATTTTGTAGATTAATTTTACAGAAATTCAATTAAATTAATCTTTCATTTCATAAAAAAATAAATATAATTAAAATAAATTTCAGTAATAAAATTCATCTTATTTATTTTATTATAATTTTTTGAATTATATTAAATATGAATGAGTACAATAATGGATAAGATTTACTAAGATGTTTTTCATATATTAATTTTGTAATAATTAGAATTATGCTTTTTTTCTGTGGAGTAAAATCTATTTAAATAGATACCTAGATCACGCCGTGTTCTAAATTTAAATAATTAAGATCTAAATAAATCAATTGTCTATCGGTGTGTTTTACTCATTTTAAAATGAGAATAGTAAGATAATAATTTTGGCAGAATTGTCATTGTTTTTTTATTTGTTACAAATGTTGCAATATGATAATTTTAAAGGTAATTATTGGCTGTAGTAATAATTATCATTATGACATAAAACAACAATGATAATTAAACACAAATTTATTTAAATGAATCGAAACGCGATAAGAATATAATAAAGAATAAAAAAGAATAAACATAACGGAACTTGTTGCTAATTTATAATTGACGGGTTTATACTATCTTGAATAATAAAAAGTTATTGCTTTGGTTTGTACAAAAATACTCAATTAGTATTCCAACATCTGCTAGATTTTATGTTTAATAAAATGGAAATTGTTGTTACTTCCACCAAGCTTTCGGAATAAATTTAATGTCTTATTCGGCAGGTATTATTTCAAGGTAGTAATAAGATTAATAATTTTAGCTTTGTATTAACTAATTATACCGATGACTTCATTCGCGTGTACAGCATATATTCCATGTATTCCAAATTTCATACTTAATTGAAGACATAAGGTACCAAGAGGGGACAAATAAACAGATTAACTCGCATTCTTATTTATAATATTAGTAAGTCTAAGGAATGATTATATTGTAAAAACTTTGTATGTTTACATAAGAAGAATTAGAGGTTTTTTTTAAACAGTTTTTTATATAATTGAAAAGAATTGACCAAAATATCTGCATGTACAATTCCGCAAAAGCAATGTTTGTTCATGCCAATCTCCGAAATAGGAAAAATAAATTTTAATAAAATTTTGTAATTGTGTGACATTTAATGGAATTTCGTAATTGTATATCGTTTGCGCCAACTTTAAAAATTAATTTTTAACCTAATAAAAAATATGCCTGACAAATGTTGAAAAGCGACAAATCAAAAGTTTGTGAACAAGTCTATTTGAATAAGGATGACTTGAATTTGATATAATAAATTGGCAAGTTTTTTTTTAAATTGAAGTCGATTTATATTTGGAATAAATAATTGTGTCTCGAAAATTTGCCTTCATTGTTTCAATAGTTATAGACGATAAAATTAATGCTCCTAAAAAAATAAAAACTAAATATTTTAAATATTCAAAGCTGCTTTCAAATTATTTCTATTTTAACTATAATACTCAAACTGAACATACTGTTTTTAAATATTACCAGTACATATTGGAAACCTCTTTCATGTTCGACGCATTTACATAGCTCTTACTAAGCAAATGTAGCTTAGTGCACAGTTTGAAAGGTAAAGAACGTTTGTTAGTTCTGCAGTTACGTTCTGCGTCATTATATTATTCATATTTGACCAAGTAGTTACCTGCAACGGTACACATGACTTCGGCAATAATTTAATGACTAGCGACCCGCCCTGGCTTCGCACCGGTGCAACATTTGTTTGTGTAACTTTTCAAACTGTTCAACATACTTTAGTAAAGCTGGTATTTTGGCGTATGTAAAAATACTGCACTAATATTCTCTTATATTTTAAAATGCTTGTAAATAATATTTTACTTTTAATATAAAAACCGTCTTTTTGGCTCAGATATTAAACTTAGATATAGTGTCGCAGACTTATTTGTAAAGTTAAAAGTAATGAATGCTACTGATGCTTTTCTACTGATTTTATTCCTTTATTTGAAACCACTTTTTGAATTTTGAAGCGCACGACATAGTATAGAATTTTTCAGACTTCAATTATATTATTTGTGATTAATTATTGAAATTATTTATTTATCAAAATAAAAAATATTTTAGAGCACTCAAAGATAATATACCTTTCTAATAATGTAAGAATTCTCCAAAATCAGATCAGTAGTACCAGAGATTACCCCGAAAATGTAAGCTCACAAAATTTACCTCTTTATAAATATTAGTATAGATTTCTAAACATGTCAGGATACAAGGGTGGATAGTTCTATTGCTAATATAATCTGGATATGTCATTGTTGTAAATACTTTTACATCTATTTGAAAATTGTTATGGGAAATCCAAAAACTCTATAATCTAATAGATTTCCCTTACTTACTACGGAATATAATTTATACGGAATATATTTGCATGATTATAATTACACATTTATTTAACTTATATAATTTATGATATAATTAAATAATTATTTTATTTAAACTATTATATAATAAAATTAATATTTTAATTTTATTATATATCTAATAATTATAAATTTACATGTTTGTTTAATCAAATGTAAGTTTATCTATTTATTACCTACTCATTCTCTCTCTCAAATAAACTATTAAGAATGCGACTACAGTTTTATTTATTTATATAAACTTTATCAAAATTAATATTATGTAAATGTAAGTTTTCATTTTATATTTAGTAATGGACAAACACAAAAATAATTAACGATTATAAAAAAAATCTCGTATAGAAAAATACATTCAGCCAATGTTGTGCTGTATTTTATTAAAAATAAAAAATCTAGCTGGAGAAGTATAATTGGTTTTCCCTATTAACAAATCTTTTCCGTGTTAATTTCCAAACGTTGGTTTCAAAAACAACAAAATATTACATAGATATGACTGTATACAGCCCTGCCAAGTCATTAGGTACAATGTAAGTACTAACAAGAGTAGCATGCAAAATTGCAATGTCAAGTGTTGCTAAGCTTAGTGTTGCATTGTAGTTCTAAACTTAGACACGGCAAAGTTTGACATTAATGAAGGTTTGTTTCTAAGTTCAGCTTTATTGAAATTTTGATAAAGGGCGACAGTGTCAAGTTATTGCCGTTGTGTAGATTTGCTTTTGGAATATTAATTAATTCTTTAGGAAAGGAGACTCCTTGTTACTCAAGGATGACGGAGTGGATTTATGAATTAATTACACTCGACTGTAAGAAGTGCAATGTTTTATTTTTGTCCTTGTTTATTTAATGTTTTCACGTCGACAAAATAGGGATTTGTTGTGTTGAATACACTGTTGCTGTTTTGAGTGCTTAATGCAAAATTATTATGTTAAATTATATTATTTGCTAGTATATATTGCTCTGATTAAAAAAAAAAGACTTTAGTTGTAAACGAGAAATTTTTTCACACCTACTTTATACCAACTTATTTCGAAGATACTCGTATAATAAGTACTGTGTGTTTACATATAGATTTTATTTTGCAACTAGCAGATTTTTACAAAGAAAAATGGTGGGTTCAAATATTACAAAATTAAAATAGAACAATGTAGTAGGAAACATCGTTTATTGCAAAAATACTTATTAAAATCGATTCAGTATTAGTGACATAATTGCGTAATATAATCACAAAAAAGTCATAATAGTCTTTGGAGGATTTTTTTAACAAAAAAAAAAGTTAAAATAATATTTTTTTAACTTAACCAGACTGTCTGTTTGTATATATGTATGTTTGTTCCGATATTACGTAAAAATATTGTACCAAATTGGATGAACTTTTCACATTTGTATTTTTGAAGGTCTTAATCGAAATTTGATATACGTTTTATCAAGATAAATATGAAGTGCCGTATCAAGATACGCTAACTAGAAGTGGTTCTATGTGATTTACTTCCTAAGTTTCCTACTTATGAAATCAAGGTCTACGATGCGCGCAAAAGCAAGTAAATAATTATAATTGGTAAAATAGTAATCCAAAGTACGTGACTTGGTAGAAATGATGTGTTATTGTGGTGTTCAGTTTATTTATATATTAATTAAACACATTATTTATTTAATATCCGTTCGTTGTTAAAATATCAAATACCAAATTTTATTTGATACTGAATCACTTATTTGATGTCTGGTTATTTTCGATATTAACAAGATTAAATGAACATAATAATGGACTAATGTTCAATTTATCTTTTATTCGTTAAAAATTTTATTTGAATAGGTAATTTGTTACTTTGTTAGACATTAAAGATACTATTATCACAGAAAATAACACTATCTGTTATTAATAACCGTCTTGTGTATTGAATTTTTTTATTGTAACGTAAATAGTTATCGACATACCGTATAAAAATATAAATTTACGAATGTCAGAGTTCGTTAATGCAAAATCTAATGATCAAATTTTATTGAAGTTTATTTGCGTCGATAAACTGAGTTTGCGTATAGATATATATAAACTCAGTAAGTAACTAAGTAACAGTAATATAATTCAGTAGGAATCATTCTATGTGATTATATATACTGAATCAAATGTCTATTACTCAGTTGCTTACTGAGTTTATATAAAAAGTAGTCATTACATAAAATGTCTAATTTTTACAAAATTAATAAGCACAGAAATAACATAAAAATAAATTATTAAGATTGAAAAAGAAACGATTAAAATTTGATGATACTTTACAAAGCATATATGAGTAAACATAAAAACACAGTCGAATTTAAAAGTATGCCCTTTTCAAAATAGGTTAAACATATAAAATAAATGCCTCACAGAACAAACACAGAAACTCTCATTAAATAGTCACGAAAAAGCATAACTTAAATTCGTAACTAACACTCCATCCCTGATTACTATAGTATTAGTGAAAAAGGTACAGTTTTAACGTTGTTATGCTCCAATTTCGAAAAGTTTCAGTACAAAGTTATTTCTTTGACGGCGGAACTTTTGAGTACTTTTGATTGTATTAAATTACTAAAAGGTGAAATGTTTCTAAAATTTTAAACAAATTACCGACTATGACTACAGTGTGGCACTAGCAACATAATAATTGCATTTAATGTAATGAAATAGGTACAGTGTGTTGAATGGAAAGGACGAACTATTTTAAAAGCACTACAGAATAGGATATAAATTAAGGATAGGTAGGTTCTATCTTCTATCTAAGTAGGTTATATCTCAATCAACGGCAGATAAATTAGTCTTAAAATATTTGAATTTCGAATACGGAAATGATTATTTACAACTAGATATTGCAATGCAATCAGCAGTAATTGCTTAATTTACTGTATTCGTACTGGTACATACATACATACATTATATATATATATATATATATATATATATATATATATTATATATATTATATATATAATGACTTCCCAGTTACCATGATATAAGGTAATAGTAGTTTAATATATTCTTATTGGGCGTGTGGTCCCGGCATAGAATAGGCCACCTCTTTATTTCCCGTGGGTGTGTTAACAGCCGTCTAAAGGAGGACGAGGGATGGGCAGCAGCGTCCCTCTTAAAACATCTCTAAAGCCTCACTGCGGTTGCCAATTCACCTACTAAGCGTGGCAACTACTGGTAAAACCTCTCAAGGGGGAGGCATATGTTTAGCAGTGGACGGTTAAAGATTAGTTCCTTTAATGACGATGATGATAATGATGATTACGATAATGATTATAATAAAAAAAAAAAACTCACCAACGACATTTAGCTGAAATGCCAGTGACATTTTCGGCTCTGTGTTCACTTGACACTCGTAGATGCCCGCGTCTCTCTCTTGCGGAAACTTTATTTGTAATGTCCAATTTTCAGATTTGTCTGGTCTGATAACCTGTGGAAGATATATTTTGTTAAGAACATTATTTTTTGTACAATTCATTGTTAAGAGGTTTGTACTAAAAAAGAAAACTTCTGTGATATTATTGGAATACAACAGACTTAGCATATATATATAACCTATTGGTTGTATTGTTTAAGAGAATAATCTTTATACGGTTCATTGTAAGAGTTATTTATTAAAAAAAAAAACTACGAGGCTTTAACAGAATTAGCAACTACTATAGCGAATGTATTGTATATATTTGTTAACTATTATTCGATAAACTCACATTTAATACATCTATCTATATATATATAGGTAGGTACATTATAATAGTCTACTCTGAATCTATACTAATGTTATAAAAAAGAATGACTTAATTGTTTGTTTGTTCTCTAAACAACTCAAATAAAACTTAACCGATTTAAAACATCATTTACGTATAGAAAGAGTAAGTGTATATTTTTTTTCGAAATTTCGAGAATCTCCTCGTACGAAGCCGGGCCGGATAAATAGTAATTAATGTATGTAGTAAAAGTCAACATTATTATTCCTATAATTAAAATTATTATAAAGTGTTATGTCTTTAATCAAAACAGCAGCATGGGATTCTTTAAAAAGGGGTAAAGAGGTTTCTTCAGAGTCAGCAGTGCGCGTATTGTTCCTAGTAATGCAGGTGTTCATATGTTATGGTGGCCATCAGATAACCCGTATACTTGTTTGCCATCTCAGTGATAAAAAAAAATTTGATAGATAAATACAAAGATGGACTAAAAAGGTTCACGAAAAAGATATTCATACCTGAAATCTTTGATCTGATGTGTAAGTTAATATTCCCGCTGTCAGTATATGTAAATCTCTTTTCCTTATCCACGATACCTGAAACAATATAAAAAATATTGCTTTGTAATAAAAGTAGTGCCTTCTATGAAGGTAACGATTACTTGACTAAATGTTAGAAATAATATCAATACAATTATCTTCTTGGAAATGATTATATTCGTGGATGTATCCTATCTGATCCTTAGAATTATTATAAACCCAAACACGACTTCACACGGATATAATAAGGACGAAAATGTACTATGTCTTTACAGTACGATCATGTAATGAGAACAATAAAGAAACCGAACAAATGAATATTAATTTGTTCTGTCAATAGTTTTGAAAATCGACGTTAGCACAGATCTATCTCACTCACTCACTTTTTTATATGAAGATATTTTAACCGAATTTTTTTTTTCAATACCCATACTCTATTCTAGGGGACTCCAATGTTATGCCTGTTACTTCACTATACTTTGTTATAACACTACTACATATATCCCACTCTACAAATTGAACAACAGCAATAAAAGCATAATCTTCACGGTAAAATCGCAAGTGGGACAGAGTTACCCATAGACATGAATTTTGTACAAAGTCTCTTTCGTATATCTCTGTCTGGTACGAGACAAAGTGATATCTAATAAAACATACGTACTACGTGTTAAATTAGTAAAATACAATGTTTTAATTCTTTTATTCTTCTGACCCTGAATAACTTGATTATCTATACAATTTTATCAATCTATCATCAGTCAATACACAGTCTTTAGTTATATAATATCGTACGAAAAACCACTCAGATACAAGAAAAACACCAGCTTTAGACATGGTAAAGTATCTAAAATATACTACGATTCTATGGATTCTAAATAGAAAGAATAATTGATAATTAATATTTGACCAAACTTTCCTCGTTGCTGAAAGTTTATTTTTTTTCCATAAAACATGCCTATGAAGTATCTTGATTGAAACGAAATATGTACCTATTGGGGAGTCAAGTAAATATACTTCATCTACAAACCAACCCATTATCGAAATAAGTAGATTACAAATAACAGCAGGATATTATCATAATAATACGATTTGTTAGTCAAGTAGTACGATATTGAAATAACCTAAATCAAGTTTGCGTAAATACCGAAATTATACTTTGTTTACCTATTTAGTTCTTACAACAACTTGGAAATTAAGTGGATTATCAAAATATTGTATTTTCACTCCATAATAATAGTGATGATATATACATACAGGGTGTAAGAGACAAGTTAACAAAAACTGAAACAGTGATTTTAAAGAATTTAGACCATTATTCTGAACTAAAAACCAATGGAAATTCTTTCCGGAAAATTTCAAATCCATTTCCTGTTTTATTTTTTATTTTTTTATTTATTTCAAAAAGTGTAATCTATAATATTATATCATAAAGAAATAATAATATATTATAATGAAGTATTATCAAAAAACAGGAGTGTAATATTCATATTAAAATTCTACTGCGATGCGCGGAATCAGCTGTCTAAAGTCAACGTCACAAGCGTCCAATAACAATACGTTGTAATATTCGAAATACATTGCGTAGTATTAAAATTAAGCATTGTCAATTATATGGCTGTGATGCATTTTCGGAAAGAAAATAATCTACCATCCGATTCAGTCCATTCATCTGAATCAGCTGTTTTCGTTTTGGCTAACCTGTCCCTTCCACTCTGTATATAAAATACTGGCATTATTCTCGCTACTTCGCACGTATCAAAAAAATTAAAGAACTGTATTTATTATTTAAAATATTTAATATATATATAATATGTTACTGTAGGGTAATATGTTTATATAATAATTTAACTATGTAATTATAACTTTACGCGTATATGATATATATTCTTTAGCAATATAAAGGTTGTAAGCCTCTTAGTGATAAATAGAAATGAAGCACAAGTATTTACAGTTCATTTAATTTAGATATACTATTAAATCATATATTTACTTCTTTTACTTTGCATATAATATATATGCAAATAATATATAACATAAATACCCAACTTCTGTTAATCCATTGACACTTATTTAATTATAGCTCCTTTAGGACTTCTATCAACAATAATTGTGATATGTTTTATATAATGACCATGTGGTTTACTATACTTGTTCACTCATGATATGTTAGGGAGCTCCGCTCTATTCAACGGTTGGACAAGAAATGTCTCCCCACCCAAATGACAATTGACAATTTTATATCCACACGGCCGAATTCGTGTCGACAAGTCAGTGAGACCACGTGTTCTTACAATTTCATTACTTTTTTTTATTTAAGTATCATGATAATAAATAATTATAAAATCAATTAAAATATAAATTAGTGTTCTATATACATTACAAGAATAATTTATTACCAAATTCGGTATAATAACAATTTTAATACTTTATTATATTTAAAGTAGTTACTTTGATTTTTATTATCAAACACATTTTGACATAAGATGTTTAAGAAAGATAATATAATTTAAAATAAATATTTAACACGGCCATTCTGAAATGCATTTCGCTATCGAAGTACATAATATATCACAGTACAATATCTATAAGACTTAATTTCCCTTATTTCTTAAGTTTAGAAAACAAATATAAATAAAAAAATATATCTAACACACGCGTAGTTTTTAGAAGTTGTAAAATAAATAAAATAGATCACTTATTGATGTTATATATATTTTAAGTTAGATCTTTAGAAATACAATAGCGAAAACTTCATTCAATTTGGTCCAGTAATTTTTGCATAATGTCGGTACATACACTGTATATACAAACAGAGAGAGGAAACTTCTAAACAAATCTCTTACATATATATTTTTTTAATATTTACTATGTACAAACATTATCCAGTTATAATTTAAATTTATTGTATTTTTTTGTATTAGTCGTTAACTGTCCACTGCTAAGCATAGCCTATAAAGGGGGGTTTCGCCAATAGTTGCCACACTTGGCAAGCCAATTGACAACCTCAGTTAGGTTTTTATTGGTGTTTTAAGAGAACCTTTAAGTTCCCTTAGTCTCTATAATATATTTATCTATATAAATTCCTATTAAGTGTTAAAAGTAATAGGTAAGTGCCAAAGCAAGACTTTGTACAAAAGTTGTTTGCGTGGGTGTTTTTATCAAACTCGTGTTCCTAATAAGAAACTGTGCGCGTGGGTTTGTTTCGATTTGAAAGGCGGAATATGAAATAAGTATGTATAATGTGTTCCGTAAATTAAAAACACGACGATTCAAGCATTTATAGTGCCATAAAGAAACTCACATATTTGAATTCTGAAAACATTATGTTTTTTTTTAAGAGTCCTGCAATTATGGTACAAGTACGTTAACTTCTTTGCCAACATAAGTACCCAGCATACAATATATAAAATTCTCAAACATCTAATCCGATAAAATGTAATACGAGCGGTACTCAATGACTTTGAAACCAGAGTAATGGATCTCTCCGTTCAATAATCTCAAATTGCCCACAGCGGAGACGCAAGTGATGAGAATTATTCTCTTTAATGTTGTATCAAGTCTCATCGTTTTAAATTGGACAAATCTGCTAGGATCTTTTTCATATAAAAAATTTGGTTTGATTTTGTGTTTAAAAGAGAAATTCGATACATAAAATAAACATATATACATAGATAAGATACACAGGCGAACTTATTATGTACAGAGATGTCTTCCAAATCCAACTAATCTTGTTAGTGTGTGTTTTTTTAATGGCTGTGTACTGCTATGGACTGGTAGAACACTAGTGAGAGATATTAGGTGGAATGAAAGCAGGTCAATTAGCCCATCGTGACAAATTCCACAATAATTAACTACGATGGTTTCCAAGGGGAATCACATAGAGGTCGCCCTGATAGGATATATCACTAGCAATGAGACTGTTAGAGCCCATTATCATCAATCCTTTTCCCTACTGTTACTGTGTGTATACAAATTTTATGAACTTATTGTATTTGTCTTTTTTGACAATTTCCGTTATATATTACATATTAACATATATACAAATTTCAAATGTGTATAACATTTTTAAGGCATAAATAAAAAAAAAATCCTGTTACTTATTCAAAAATTAAAAAATATTGATAAAATTTAAAGTCTGTGTAATAAGATTAAGATGGTCTACATTACACATGAAGCATTGTTGTCTTTATAAAGGTAGTAATTGTAACAGATTATTATTATAGTCCACAGGTTTTTAACCAAAGTACCTATTAAGACCTCTACGGAGCAGCGAATTAAGAATAAACATGTAACCATTCTTTTTCTTTTCCATAGTATAATAAGAAACAATTAAGATAAGAAACACACTACAACAAATCAAGAGATAAAACTTTATAAAGTACTTGGCCAGTATGGTAGTAATGGGTTATATTCTTTTTATGGGGAGAACCCATACCAAGCAGTGAAACTTGAAAGAAGTTTTTATACTATGGAGTTTCCTATTAAAAAAGATTTCATATTTATAGCAGAAAATAATGGGATTTAATTTCAAGTCACAAGATATCGAGTTAAAATCTAAGTCCAAAGCTTTCACTTTTATAAATTATTGCATAGACCGTTTAGAATTTCATTTACTCAGGCTGTATATTGAAGGCTTTATAACTTATCTTTCAATAAGTCACCTCTAAAGTGTCCACAAATTCGATCAAGAAACTTTTGTCATTAGAGGACTTTATGTATAGAATTAGCAGCATTATTGTCCAAATACTATAAGTAGTAAATAGTGAATAGTGGTAACAAAACAAACAAAATTAATTCATTAAAGATAAAGTTTATTTCCGTTACAACACTAAGAAGAAGTTCTTGAACTATTTTCGGGCGAACAATGACTTAATATCAATGAGGTATTCCGTCCATTGTGAAATTAAAGGCTTTATTTACTTCTTGACAAATGTTTGTTTTGTAGGAAACCATTAGTTAATGCTATTTGAACTAGAACTTTTGAAAAGCAAGGAAAGTTTCATCTAAGTTTACCTCCGTATCTGTATGTGTTACATATATCATCTTTAAATCAGAAC